GGCGGCGGAGGGTTCACCGACGCCTGTCCGCTCCATGAGGACGCGGGGGTGCTGGGCACACCCTGCCCCCCGTCTCCCGCTGCCGGAGACTCGGGACTCTGCTCGGGACACTCTTCTGTCCCGGCGAGGGCGCCGGGCAGCCCCCCCGGGATATCGGGGACGGTCGGTGTTTTGACGGGAATCACCGGCGTCTTGATGGGAATGGGACCTCCCCCGATGGTGCCGCGTCGGACCGAAGGCTTGGTGGAAGGGGTCCGGCGGATGGTGGCGACGCCGGGGGTGACTATGACCGGTCCGAGCGTGGTGGGCAGACCTGCAGTGGAAGCAGGACGCTTGGTTTGAAACATTCTGCGATAGGACTGGCTAATGTCGCTGTTTCTTGGGATGGTGGAAGATTTGTCAAACTCTTGTTGTTCTGCCTCCTGGTCACCACTCACAGAGAAATAATCATAATCTGAAACTGATGCCATAAGATAAAAGAGTCAGGAACAAGCTGGAGAAGACAGCTGAGTCACGTCAGTAAATCTAAAGTATGTCTAACCAAAAAAGAATGTCTATAACCAAAAAAGCCTGAAGGTCAATAGCGATTAAAAGACATCCTTTACAAGGAATGGAGCCTGAGATGCTGTGAGCAACGTTCTCAGACTGTGTGGCTGAAGGCAGGCAGACCAACCTGCAGCAGACCAACTAGAGCTGCAGGGTGCCCACAGCTCTTGTGAAAGAGAACGAGAACTATACACTCTCAGTACCTTCTCTAAAAAGAGCTGATTAAGTAACAGAAACTCAGTGTTTGCTGCCAACATTAAGACACCAAAACCAGCATCCCAGAAGACACATGCTACCACCTGTAGATATAAATACTTAAACAGTCGGTGACTAAAAAGTGTACTTGAGACTAGGAAATGGGCTCAGGGGACTGTGTGCCAGTGATTTCAGCAGCAAATTTCCTTATTTTGCAAACATAGTAAATCCCAGCTCTGAAAAGTCAGCCTCAGCTTTAGTAATTGCATCAGGTTCCTTCCCTTCCATACAACTGCTGAGCCAAGCCAGGCCCTCCACAAGCCCTATGGCCTCTTGTGACTGTGTGCACAGCACAGCCGACCTCAGCTGAGCAAACAGGGCAGCTGCAGAACTGCAAACACCACACTCTGTCTCTCTCAGCTTGCTGCTGGCTGGGTACAAAACCCAACAACTTGTTGCAGCTTCCCAGGTATGGCCAAGTTAAGGTCCCAGATGATTTTTTTTCCAAATACAAAATTTTGCTTAGGTAGGAAATAAAAGGTCACCAAGGGAAAGCAAGAGCAGATTCAGAGTACTGACAGAGCAAGAAAGCAAAGATCTTGAGTATGTCCTTGCTAAAACAATAGCTTGGGAAGGACACGACTACCACAGGAAGCGTAAGATGCAATACCAGTTGTCATTTCCCTTAACCCATGAAATACAATTCCAGAATCTTCTTTAAAACGGTAGCAGCCTTAAGTTGAAACTCATCCTAGTAACACACAAGAAAGTATGATTGCTCAGCATACTATGCAGCAATCCAGGTTTCTACTTCATGAATCCAGGCTGCATTCCAAGCTTGAAAAAAATTCACAACGGCAAAGCAATAGCTGCTGGAATACAGCTCCTTGGCACTGTGGGGTGACTCTATGATGGCCAGGCTGGGAACACTCTGAAAATGAACGTCTCTTGCATGGGTACCTTGAGAGGGGATGGTGTCCTCTGAACAGCACGGCGTTGTCGTCTGGGTGCTGTAGCCACTGGAGCACTGCAAGGAATCCCGACTGCTCCTCTGGGTGTCCAGCTGCAGCCCTCTCGTCAGAGCGAGCGCCAGCTCCTCACAGGCCTCCATCTCCTCACCCTGCTGGGCACACACGGGAAGACACTTACTATGTCTAGAAGGGTCAGTCGATTTTCCAGTGGTGAATTCTCTCAAGCCCACGTGATTTTCACCGACCACCACACCAACACCATACCAGCACCACTCGCCAGATAAACACATGCCAACACAAAGCACATCCAAAACTGCTGCCGGGAGACAGCACATCCATTTCCTCTGCACCAAGCAGTGTATTTGAAAGTGAGCCTCACCCTCGTGGCAGCTGACACCGTCATGCTCCGAGGTCTCTGGGGCTCCTCGGGGGGCACGGCCGGCCCACTCTGAGCCCCACCACTGAGGTCGGGCTCCCGCTTCTCCTTGCGGCGCTGCAGCGTGTTCACCACCGGCTGGTCGTACGGGCCCGGCTTGGCCCAGTCCTAAGGAGACGTGCTCGTTAGCGGTGCTCTCCTCAGCAACCGTGCTTTAGTTACTCGTAAAGCTATGCAAAAGGACAATCTTAATGCAACAGATTATGTATCAAACTGGATATGCCTTTCCGAGTCACGCCAGACCTAAATTAATTTTGAGGACATTAAAAATCTTCACTTATAAAACCTAGCTCCTCTATTAAAGGGAAGCTAAATTCCATTTTATACCTAACTGTTCATATATGAAGATACTTAATATTTTAATACTACATTTTTCTCTAAATGCCATTGTGTTAAAGCCTGTATTTTCAGAAATTCACGTGCAAAAATCCTGCACACAGCAGGAAATATCCATAAATGTCCAGTCAGCTATGTGACTGTCTGAGGTGTACACAAGTTCCAGTATTAGTTGCTGTTATTCATATACTGTGTCTTCAGTTCTGAAAATTAGGCTTGAACAGATTTTTGATACCTATTAGAGGAGCAAGTTACTGTGAGTAATCTCTCAGTTTACCTACTAGCTGAAATCTAGTTTATAATGATGATGTGTACTGAAGACAGACTTACTTCCCCCTGAATTACTAGTGCCAAATTTGAAAAAGAAATCCCTCAGACCACAAAGGCTATATTCACTCAGGGCTCTATTAAGCAAAGTCCTGAGGGTGTCCAGAAACGACACGCTGCACACAAAGAGCAGGACTGATCAGTGACCTGTGCTGGGCAGCAGAACCACTGCTAAGCAGCAGCTCCCCAGATGCGAGCTGCTGCAAGGGCAAGCCTAATCCTCAAACAGTTTTCCCTCACAAAAATAAGGGATGCTTTAAAAATAGAAATGGAAGAAACAGCTTGTGCCTGAGGACGGGCCACACACCCACCACTGGCAGCAGCTGGCTGCCAGGCAGCCTCTGCACAACCTTCTGATTAATAACTAATGACGGGCTAAGACCACACCATAGATTTTTACTGCACATGTCTCTGTGTGAGGTACAAGAAGCGGAAGGCAGCTGTACTGACAGCAGCCCCTTGTGCAGAGAGGTGTTCTGGTTTCACTGCCACCTGTGGAACTCCGCTCTGCCTTAACAGCTGTGTCTTTGCTGTAAGCGTTTTGCTGTGAAATAAACTGGCAAAATCCTTCTAGCATAGACACAACTAATGACCCTAAAGCTCCAGGACCACTGTGGCTGTCCTGCGTGTATGTCACAACAGCCTCCAGCTACTGGAGATCGAGATGAGGGGGATCTGTAACAAGGCACCTCAATTTACATGTGTAAGAAGGTCCCACCGTGCATATGCAGTACCACATAACCACCCACAGGCATCTAAGACCTACGCAGATACCATCAACTGCACATCAGCCTTGGGAAGATTCAGGGCAACAGACAACAGAATTTTTCCCCTTGTTCCTGGGCACAGTGTCCCAGGGGAATTGCCTGGCAGGGAGGAGAGTGAAGGCTCTGGCAAAGCAGAGACATTTTAATGCCAAGGAAGATCCCTGCAGATCCAGTTGGAGCAACTGAAAGAAGTCACTGCACTCTTTTTTGGTAGTCTCACCCAAGACAGCAAAACAAGGTAGGTGAGCGCTTCTGGTCTGTGGCAGTAAAGCCTGGACACGTTCAGTCCTCACAAGGGCTGCCCTGGTGACCAGCACCTTCTTAAACCACTCCAGCTGGATCTGCAAGAGCGTGCCTGCGTACGGCTGAGGCGGGGGCCCAGCAGAGCTGCTGCAGTGAGACCACCACACTGTGCAACGTATGGTCTCACTAAGCCAACTGGATGCCAAGCCTGCACTTCCCTGCTCCACTGAGTGCTTTGACGGTGCTACACAAGCTCCCCTGCCGCTGAATAGAGCCCAGAGTGCCTTCACCAATGCTCCAGAGTTAAACTATTCCTCCCCACCTAGGTGTTGTCAGCTTTGCTATGCTTTAGGCTGTGTCAGAAAAGACAAAGTCATTCAGAAATATCCACTACCAGATTTTAGTTCTCCGATTAGCACCATGCAGTTCCCATTCAGAGTCATATTAAACCGAGCAAATCAACGAGCAATTACATGGATCAAAAAGGTAGCAACAACCGCCGTGTGCACAATGTTGGTATGAGGAGGTGAGGACTGCCACAACAAAAGGAACACAAACCTTCCAGCTAGGGATCTTAGATGATGGTAACATGCCTGGCCCAATGGTGTAATAATGAACGTAGTCTGGAAGGAGGGCTGAGGGAGCCCGAGTCCACGCGCGGGAGACAGGCGGGAAATGAGGGAAAGGACCTGCACCAACTGAAGCTACGGATGGGTCACTTGATAAACTACAGTGATAAAACCCATTAGACAACTGGAAACAAAACAAATAAACAAACAAAACAGAGAAATTAATATAAACAGAATGAATATGAAAATATACTGTGACTGATGTTCTAGGGAGAAAAGTTCTTTATCTTAAAATGAAAGAAAAATCTTAGCTTTGCTGCAAATAAACAACACAAAATTGATACAATGCTTGGTTCAGAAGTGAGATAGCTTGAAAATTGTTATCTGGTGTAACAAATTTCAGACATCAATCTAGCAGTCATTGTCTCTAGGCTGAGCAGCTTTGCCTTCTGTCCATGAAAGCAGCACACTGTGAGAAAGCCATTGCAATTTAGGTACCCTGCAGACTGTAGACATAGAAACAAAACATTCCCAATACTGGAGGCATTTGTGTTGGTGGCATTTATTCTGTGTAGCTGGACAGAGGGGAAAAGCACAGAGCCTTCAAACATGATGTGTTCTGGTTGTGTGATGATATGGAAGAAAAAAAAACCAAAAAGATCAGCAGCAAGGATTTAGCAGATGAGAATGGAGACCACTATCACTTCCTCCCCTGTTTTGGAGTGTATCTCCCATAATTTATTCCAACCCTGTGGGTTTTGTTTTCCACTATTTTTTGGTCAAATCCAAACTGCAGTTGCTCAGTGTACCTCCTTAAGGGAGAGAGGGGAGAAGCCACAAACAAACGTGGGCAAGATGCTCTTTTGTTAGGCATTCAGCTGGGTTTGGGCAGTGTTCCACAGTCTCTTTGAGCAGAAGAGGTGGACAATGAGCTTTTCTGAGAAAATTACCTCTGTAAAATGCCCAATTTGTAGCTTCCTCCTAGCAGCTAGTTTAAGGGCAAGTACTGCTGTAGTTCATTCAGATTAATTTCTAAGGGAGTGTGCAACAGTTCCTATTCTCATCTTCACAGAGAGGAATCCTGGCTGCGTCCCATGCACGAGGGTTTTTTTTTTTTGTCCAAATGTTGCTGGGTTGGGATAACGAGCTAGTAGGTTTGTATGTCTTTGAGATGAAGTTTTTCACCTTATCTGTAGAGGCCCAAGCCCCCATGGTGGAGCCTGAGCTGACTGAGGTGGGGGAACTGCACTCGCTCACTGACTGGCAGGTTTCAGAGGCTTCTGAAGAGGCAGAGCTGGACGAATTCTGCAGCGTAAAACAGCACCGCAACGCAGGGAGGGGATACACAAGCCACCAAAGAAGAAGGGGAAAAAAAACCAAAACCAAACCACAAACAAACAAACAAAAAAAGACAAAAAGCACATACACAGAGACACACAGGAGAGAGGGAAGGATGAGAGAAGCAAAGGGTTAGGGCTTTAAAAATCAATTAGAAACTGCTCATAACCATTGTTAATGTTCAGGAAATCTATGAGAAACAAAATACGCCATTTGCTTAATGCAACACTTGCCACGCTGCTTGAGAATGAGGGAAGCGAGGCAGAGATCTCAACTCCTCATTCCCATTTCAGCGTCTCAATTCTGTTAGTTGTCTCAGAGCAAGAAGCTGAGTGAACCTATGGTCCAAACATGCAATAGACTGAGGCAACTGATTTATAGACAAAAGCAGATCGTAAGTACTTCAAAGACACAAAGTTTAGATTTAAAACACAGAGCAGCAAACATCACTTACATTCACAAGTTCTCAGATATTCTGATCTGCAAAAGTACTTGTGAAAAGCCCATCTGAGTTCAAATATTATGGAACAGAGAAAGAAGTGATACTTACCAAAACTGGAAGCTTCCAAAGTGCATTATCTGTATGCATGTGCCTCTGTGGGTCGTATGCATACAGCAGAACCACTCTGACTCAAACATTTCTGCCCAGCAGCCAGTATGAAGGTACATGTACACTGCTGAGGGTGTAAGTGGTGGCATGTGCTTGCCACCTGCTTTCTCATTAACAACAGAGAGAGAAAATATCAGGGGCTTGGATGGAAAGTGAACAAAAATGCAGGACACAGAGTGTCCATACAATACCTCCAACATTTTGCTCCAGCTAAGAACTTCTTCAATTTTCAGTGCACACCTCTGTGTACATTTGCTGCTGTAAGACCTCTACAACAGCATTCAGTGCACCTACAGGCAGGCCAAGGTGAATGACCACACAGGCCATTTTATCAACTACAATGCCTTTATACAACTCCCCCTTGAAAGTGGCATCCTCCTCAGTAGGAGTGTGTCTGCTCGTCCAACTGAGTGCTTGAAAATAGTCAAGAATACTAGTAAAGTTGTCAGGGCATTACTGAGCTCTATTCACTGTCAGAAAATTTAACACTAGCAAGACTCATTCATCCTTTGGTAGTCGCAGACCTACGTAGCTAAGTCCACCTAAAAATATCTCCAGCATTTTATGACAGCAGAGAGGATGTGCTCTTGTATCAAGTTTGCACAGCAAAGCCTCAGATTTCAAGGAGCAACATTTTGAAGAGGAAGGGAAATCTCATCTGAAATAAATTTTCATCAGTTAAGTTTAGATGAGATCTTGGGGTCAGTCTGCAATAAAAAGATAGCTGGGTAACAGGCACTGTAGTGGAATAATTACTGCTAATACCCAGAAGTTGTCTCACTGCTCACCAGAAGATACATACAGGGAATGTATAGCTAATTGTCTAGGTAAAAAGAGATGTCAGTCTCCTGAGACAGAACACCAGAAGGATTTGGGTGAAGACTGGGGCTGTTGAGAAGCCAATACAGTATCAGCATCCTGAGCTTAACACTATACTGTGGATTTAAGTGAAACTTTACAAAGGCTGTTAAATTTTTTTTTTAAAGCATGTAATGTGCTGGATTATTTTATATAAATAATACATATCCCATTACATGCTGACAGGAGAGCAGATCTGCAGGTGACCTGTCAAATAAGTTTACAGTTCAAGTAAGCTCAGCTAACAAGACTTGTAGTCAAAGTGCTCTAAGAGTTGAGGTGAGCAGAAGATCAGGAGAAACTACAACATGTAGCTGTAAGGAGAGAAGTGAGAAGCATGCAAAGGGCTGCCCAGTGCTGCAGTGGCTTGATGTTTTGTGGACCTTGTCACATTCTTGATTTAATGTAACTCCTTCTACAGGAGAAAAACCCCTAAAAATCAGCATACTGACGAACATAAGCTGCAGTTGACTCTGCCATCAGACATAACTACAGTACTCTAAATGGAGATGAACCTATTTCTTCTGTCCTTAGAGAAAAAATACATTATAGAAAATCAGCTTTTACAATAAAACTTCAGAGTTCTGCCTGGTGTTCCAGGCAGCTCAGCAAAAGGAACTGTTTGAGAAGTCCCATGAGAGCCCTCACAATAGTGTTACATTTTGGCCAGGAAAAGAAAAAAAAATAAGAGAGAAAAACAAGTTCAGAAAGTGTTTTCTGAAACCTCATGTTTATGGCCTGAAAAACCCTCGTGAGTTGCATGCTCTGCTTGTGGCAGGACAGACAGTGGTGGGTCTGAGTTCCAAATTGGTATCATGCCACCTCGTTTTCTGCAGATGCCCCAGTGACTGACAAGTGAGAAATCGAAGTTTACATCTGATAGACTATTCCTATTTATGAGTCAGAAACTTCTCAAGATGGTGTCAAGTAATGGTAGAAATGAGTTATAAATGAGGTTTATTAGCAACAAATCTGCATGTATCTAATAGAACAGGGCCAAAAATGCAAATTCTGAGGATGCAACGAACTATTCAATTTACTTGGTGCATGGGGAAAAAAGACCTGAAGTGGTGAACTCAATTTTGCAATAAAGTGGCTCTAAGGTGAAAAAAAGATGAAAGAAAGGACTCTTCCACTAACTCAGCGTGGCTGTTTTCAGCAAGCAAGGGCAGACAAAGGATGAACCAATATGCCATGGGGAAAACACCTCGACAGCTGAAGGAAATGGAGGAGGAAACAGCGTCTACTAGTCTTGAGAAACTTGCATGGCACAGGGAAAGGGAGCCTCTGGTCTTGCTAAGAAAGGATTACACCACCGAGAAAATGATGGAGAGGGAGTCAGAGGAATACTGAAATCCTGAAGGAAAAGTGTAAAGAAAACACGAGTGGTGGCAGGTCAAAGGCTGCCTGGATGAGGCTGTGGGAACAATCTTGAATGGTTTGACCAGGATGTGGGAAGCACAGACCACCCTTCATTTCTTAGCAGAAAGTACACAAGGGGCTGAAAACAGAAACTGCACAGCTATTGCTTGGGCAAAAAGTCTACAGACGTTGGAGTGCTTGTTTTAGCACACCCCACAGCACACTTACTTCTGGGAGCACATGCACAGGCAAACATCAGGCAGAGCAATTTCTATTCCACACCCCATAGAGTAAGAAATTTGACTATTGGATTTTTTCAACTTATTTTAGTTGATTCCTTTTTAAAATGATTGCTTAGTTGAATAATTTTTAAAACGAGTTCTTTCATTTTAGCTGTTTGAACCCTGGGAGATTATTGTTTTTTTCCCACTGTTGCATAATGGTGGTTCTGCTCTGCTCTCAAACCATCTCTTCTGATAAAATGCCTAAAGTTAATAGTGTCAGCAGAAAGCTAAAACTCTGCTCATGGGCCATAACCACCAGCTCCTCCAATGTACATTATAAGTATGTCACTTTGTATCTGGTCTCTTGGACATCGTGCCATGGCTTGCTCTTGGATAGTGGCTTGTTCTTGAGTAGTGTCCTGCTGCTTGGTGTGGTATGTATGAATTCCAGCAAGAATAAAAAAAAAGAAGAAAAGCTGTACTTTGGGCTACTGGGCTGTATGATTATATTTTCCATCTGTTGCCCTACTAACCCATAAAAGGACTGCAGTTATCCTGGATTACTTTCATCCTTTGTTTGCTGCAGTTTCCATTCAAACAAAGTATTGCTTTCTTAACCCTTTCCCCTCCTCAACTACTAGACAGAGCTTCCTGGGCAAGGGTTTCCCAGAAGACCAAATCTTAATGAAAAGCTTGGTCCAATGTCCCTCTACAGTCTGCAGAAGGCATCTCAACAACCTTTCAAAAAGGTCTGAAGGGTGACTCAGGGTCACCTCCTCAATTTGTCTCACTTCCAGGAATGTTACTACTGACCACTCTTTTCTAGTTAGGGACAAACTGTTAGGAAACTTAACTTTAAAAAAAGAAGTTTAAGAGCAACAAATACCTAGTGATAACTCACAGATGCATTTTAGTTATTTTGGCATTTTTGGTTTGTTTTTTTTTTTTTTTGACATCTGGTTTCCGAGCCTTTTTTAATGTAATTTGAAAACTGCATAGTTGTAACAGTATATTTCCTGTATTCTAACTTCAGGCTATTGCAAGCAATGGAGTTTTCTCAAAAGCAGACTCTTTCCAGCTTGCTAATCTGTATGTGCAGGAGCAAGTTCACATTTAGTTTCCCTCTGCTTCAGTTTAGGGAAAGCAATTTCCCGAATATTCAAACAATAAGGACTTAGTTCTCTGCTGTTTGAAAGCATATCAACAGCTTTTTTATCTACATCTACTTCTTCTTCTCCCCTCGCTTTCATCCCTATGAAGTCATAAGCAGCCTCTAAAATCCAACTGTATAGTTGCTTCCCCCATGCATGTCCACTCCAAGTCCAGTGATCCTTACATTATCATCCCCCTAAGTCAAAGAGATCTGCACTACTACCATATTACTTCACTGCAGTTACTCTCAGACCTCAGTTTGCCTCCTGCATAGGGCAATGTGTGGGTATAGCAGCACCAGCCATGTTCAGTGTTAATCCAAGAGCTACCCTGTGCTCCAGCAGCAGGTCTGTCAGAAGGCCTTTGCATGGTGTCAGCACATGCCATGGGCAACGCTGGCCAAGGCTGACCTCAAATCTGGCATTTAGAGAAATTGTTCCACTCCAGAAAGTGAGCTGAGATGCTTTTCCAGCTGTTCAGCTATACTCAAATGTAATTGCTTAATTAAGATTGAAGCATTTTACAGTGACCTTTCCACATGCACAGCTATCTGTTACAGGCTAACGCTTTTATTCCCAGTGATGTTTCAACAGCAACACTGCAGAAAGGAGATTGTACTAAATCAGTGCAAGGGCAGTCTGTTTTTATAGTCACTCTTCTTCCTATCTTCTACGCAGAGTTTGACAACTGTAAAGACTTACTACCCAGCAATTATAGGCGAGCAGCAATCTTCATTTCCCCAGTCACCTCTCCTCTAGTACAGTCTGTATCTTGTTCAAATCTCTACTTACTCCTTGTTTGAGACCTTCTTCCCCCTGTATGTGATTCTGAATAAATTCAGTTTAATCTTCAGTGACACTTGTTTGTCTAAAAGGTAGGTGAGAACATAAAAGCTTCATATAGCACATGTATTCTTATTGCCACAATACGGGAATTCTATGTAGCCCCATTCTTCTTTTTTTGTTTTTTAAATCCGCTATTAAAAGAAAACGTGCTTTGTTGCCACAGTTGATGCCACAGCAGATGCCACAGCATGTAGCTAGCAAACATCAGCAAAGTGTCCACCTGCACAAGATATACACCTTTTAATTTCCTTTGTTGTTTCCAGAGCTGGGTTTTCTGTTTTCTCAGTGTCATTACTAGAAACAATGACATCAGTGTTTTAGAAACAGCAGCTGACATCTCTGCTCCTCCCCACCCACCACCGAGCCTCAAAAGCACAATACAAGGTCTGTCAGTTGGTTAGAGACACACAACATGAAGTAACGCTGTAAATTGAACAGCTCCTTGTTAAGCTCACGATCACAGTTACCTGTCAGCACAACACACACGACTTACTCAGTGCTGAACACACAAAGCGAGACACGTAAGCGAAGATGAAGCGGCCAGGCAATGATCTGTTACCTTTTCCTCTGCGTAAAGGTATACAGAACAGAGACATACAGAGCACATACCTATTGGTTATACCAACGCACTACACTTGTCAAGTCAGCGCCACACTTGCTGCAGCCCTCTACAGCTCAGGAATAGCTCGAGTGGTGCTTGGATTGGTTTGCAACTTTATGGACAGTTTCGAAAATGGAGTGAAAGCATAGGAACTTAGCTGGTGTAAATCAACACGGTGCCCATCAACTTTCAGGATGTTCTGCCAGCTGATACCAGCCTAAGTTCTCTCCCCTGCTTGATGGGGGATCTTACAAAGAGAGGTGTTGGGCTTTTTCCATGCTAATAGCAATTGCAAAGTCACATCCTCATCTGCAAATGAAGCATCATCATGTAGATTGCTGCCCTTTTATGCAGGTGCAGTGGATACCATGAAAACCCAAGATGATGCTAGCATGTATAACTGATGCACGTATCTTAAAAGTCAACTTCCTTACCTGGTTACTATTCCAGTTTACTTTATTATTGCTCATTTACTTTTTTTGCATTTCACTTAGGTTAGCCATAGCCAATCTAAACAAAACATTCATTTTATTAGTGTGCACAAAGTTCTTCAGGATGTCATCTACAAAAAAATGCTGATGTGTCCAGACTGGTGACAGTGCAGAAAAAGTATTCACTTGAAAAGAAAACATTTCTACTAAAATGAAAGAGGTAAATATATTTTTAAAACTGTTGAGCTTCCCTTGGGAACATATTCCAAGCCTAAATGAACTAGCTGTGTTTTGGACAATACCCTAAAAATTTCACTATGGGTGCTACTTACTAAATGTTCTGCAAAACATAAGGGTCTGTGTGCCGTCAAAGGCGGTCTAGAAGTAGCTGGAATGTGCAGGTGACACTTGGTAACTGCTAACACCAAAATTGTTGACTGCTGAACTGTGAAGATTAAAATAATCTACTCCTCAACCATGTCTACAAAACCATCTACTCTCCAGCACATGAAAAGGAGTGCAGCTACATGTATTAAACTAAAGGACAGCCTTCTCCAGCACCCTCATGGTGTATCAGAAATGACTGATACTCAACAACAGGATATCAGGTCCACTTCAGTTTGTAACCAAGACTTATAATGGGATTTGTAATGTGAGGTGGCACTTCAGCCTTGTTTAAGAAAATATGGCAGTTGTTGTGTGATTTGTCAAATAAAAACAAGCCAGAGAAGAGAATTCAGGTGCTAGAAGATACATGCCATGGAGGCACACAAACCTCTGCCTGCATGTGGCCAGCTAGATTTTATAGGAACGATGCCATGAACAAATAGAGCAGCAACTTCCTTCTGCAGACCAAAAAATGCTCTGGAGAAGTTTTCCTCATACTTATTGTGACATCCTCTTAGTTTGACTGGATTCAGGACATTATCATATATGACTAGACAAACAATTTTTATCAGTTCCATAAAGAATTAGAAGTACCTCTCATTTTCACGCAGAAACCTTATTTCTGCAATGTGCTCAGTTGAGACTCAAAAAGAGCAAGCCTATCCACAGAAAGGGATGTCATAAAAAAGGCAAAACCAACTTCATATGATACGTCTAATGGCATTTTGAGTATTCCACACTCTTTAAAGGAAAAGAATAAAAGTCGTGTCTCTGATGCCAAAGCCACCAGTATCTATACTAAGGCTGTCACAAGGCTGTTCTGGCACCTAAATTTGTCCATTAAAAAGTAAACAGCCACCAGATATTAACAACTTGCAATCTGTGCAGGATATTAACTGGCAACCTCAGTGGGTAAAGTGAATATTACTCCCTCCTGTAAGGTGGGACCTCTTGCTCTTTCTCATCTGTATGCATCTGAAAGTTGGGCATCTAGGCTCCCTCCAGAGCCAGAGTGAAAATCAAATCCCCCAAGACTGACTCATCCCTTTCTTCAGTGACAACTGCAAAAAAGCAGCATATATAACTCCAGCTAGAGGCCCAACTTTTAGATGTATGAAGTGCAGTGAGACAAACTCTACCCTCAGTGTTTAATTTGCCTCCAATGTACCCCCAAACCACACCAGATCCTTTTTGTGAAAGGTGAGCTGAGTTACAGAGTCCACCTCACACTCAGGTTTTTGTTCTCATGCTTGCACGTACCTGGTTAGGTGCTTCTGGTGGCATGGGGGATGGCGATTTGGACTGGAAAGCATCCTGGGACATGAATCCAGAATCATGGGAGGACACACTGGACAGCCTCATGGGTGCCTGCTGAGGCAGATTGGAGCTGCGATAGCGATAGTGTGAACTAGGTGAGTGCGAGTGCGAGCCACTGGACCGGGAATCACTACTGTTAACGCTGTTCAGACTGCTGTGAGAGACAAAAGGAACAAAGAAAGGAAAGGGGAGAGGAAAACACACAAGGGCAGGGTGGGGAGAGACCCATATACAGTACAATTAACATTCCACATGTCTCTAGCAACAGGCAGCATCAACCGGAAAAGAAAAAATGTTGACAAATTAAATTTAAATATATACATATGCACATATATATCAGTAAAGAACTGTAAGCAGCTGCAGTATCCCTTGTGACCAGAGAGAAAATGGCATTTTACCTTGAATTTCGCTTGAATGATCAACTTCTGTAACCACCCAGAGTTCAAAGTCAGGCTAGGGACAAAGCAATCGCTCCAAGCCCTCTCTAGCATTTGTGCAGCACTTGCAGAGAAAAAGTCTGCCGACAGCTCTCTCCTGTTCCTGAATTACACCTTGCTGCTCCTGCACCATGACCTCAGTTCTCAATGGGTTCTATAGCAGGTCATGGAAAGGTATCACAGTTCATCTGGATGCCTGCCTCTAGGCATGCTGCTGCAGTCACTCAGCAGGCCAACGTGTGCGAATTTTGAAAGCACCACCAAAACCCACGATCCAGAGAACCTGGGACAGGTTTTGGTCACATGGAGGCTTTCTACCAGAAAAAAAGCATATGTTGGCATGTTAAGCTTCAGGGTACGTGGCTTCAGTTAGTAAGAAAGATGGTCAGAGAATCAAATACCCCAATTTAATATCCATAGTGAAAAAAAAAAATATTGATTTTTCAAACACAGAGATTGGTATTTCATTTCCAGTATCCATGAGTGACAGCAACAACATGCCAGGTGCAACGTGGGAGCCTTTGAAATTTCCTGCTGGGTTGGCTGAGCAGGACTAGCAGGATGCACCAAGCTGAAGGCAGCTTCCTACCTTTATTGGCAGGAGCTCACTGACTAGCTGAAGGGATGGGTCTATACGATACACGGGTGAGAACTGCACCTCCTGCTCACAAATTTCATGGAACACACAAGATGTACAAATCAGCTTGGAGCAGGGCAAGAGGAGCTCTGCCTTATTTTACTCACACGCAACACTGTTGCCACACAGGTTTTACCAGACAAAAAGATAAGGCTCATTAGGAACAGACAATGGAATTTTTTTGAGTTTTTGCCATTTTCTTTTACAGCTTTGGGATATTGCATCTTTAAGCCTGTGCTCATTGCTCTAAATATGCATGTTTTCACATATATATATAAAAGTATTGCAGTTCTTTTTATATATATATCTGCATGCAGAGACAAGTAGGTCCGTAGAAGTCATGTTCACTTGCTCTGACATGCTACAGGGGACTCCGCTGGTGCGCAGGGAACCTGTAGTACATTATTCATAAAGCAAACTAAAAGATAATCATTGGAGAGCAGCTAGAAAGGTGTTGAGCAGAATACACAACAGGGTATCTTCCTTTTCAGTAAAAGGAAGGAGTAAATGTAGACACCAGGGTTATGGGGGCGACATGCTAATAAACTGTTTTATGAGAGAAAACAGTTTTTACGGAGAAAGCATAGACAGAATCCAGTGTTTCAACATATTTCAAGACAGCATTAGACAGCATTGAACAGTTAAAAAAACTTGTATCAAAAAAGCATTTCCATCTACCAGACTGATAGGGCAATTGCCAAGGTTGTTTTTCCTTTTCAAACAGTTTAACTTACTGATTAGTAACAGCTACTTAGAATAATCTAAAAAGTCACCACATGAAAAACAAAAAAGGAAATTATGAATGAACAATCTCAGAGCTTAGATCAGTACAGTCTGCTCTTTGATCTGAAATGGATTCAGGAGAACTGAATCAAAAGCATCTTCAAGTTGGCTTGAGTTCAAAAGTTGTTCAGTCATGCCCATCCTTTTTAACATTCCCAGTCACACACTTAAACGGATAAAGACCAAGAGGGACTGACTTTATTAAGAGCTGACATTTAAGTATGCATACAAATCCATACCACAGCCTGAACTTGCCTCCCTTTTCCCCAAAATGGTTATTAAATATTACCATTCTACTTACCTGCAAACACTAGATTTTCTGGACATGGTAGTACTGGGAGAGGATGGAGGAGTCTGATAAGACCAGCTGTAATCAGAACCTTTCAAATCTAAAATTACCTGATGAAAGATAATCAATAGCATCAAAGACGTGGAAATTCCACACCCAGCCCCCCAAGAAACAGAAAACATCTGCTTGTCACACAACATTCGTGAGCACTATAAACCTTCTGTGCCAACTGGCCCTGTCTCAGTTCTCTTCCAGAATGACACCGTGTATATTACACAGGAATTACACAGGAGAGCTGGCTTCATCCCTGGTTTTCCAAGAACTACCATACTTCAACACAAGGGCTGCTATCACAGAAGGAAAGTTCAGATTTGACTGGAAAAATCTTCTAAAAGTCAACTGGAAATTTATTTTATGCATGCTGTAACCTGGTTTGGTTTTTTTATCTTTTTTTTTTTTTTCCCCCCTAAAAAAACTATCACAGCCTTAGAGTTTAAAAACTGTTGCATTTAAAAAAAAAAAAAAAATCAAAGATCTAATATTCAACCAGATCAGAGCTTTCCTCCTTTGCACTTCTAGGTCAATGGTAAGGTGATTACGGTATGACAAGAAAAAAGTGTTCACACAGAAGGGCTGGAGGAAAAGGTCCTATTTGGAGTCTTTTAATGATATACATTTTCCTATGCATTTTAAGGGCACCATGGAAAGCTGCTCAAATGTTAAGACTCCATGAAGCTATCTAATCCCAGCAATCTTGGAACCACATAAAGACAGGGATGTTCAAATGTAGGGTGAGGAAATTATAGTCATCCCCCAGGTATTTTGAGCAGAAATTTGGCATCTCCATATACTACAAAGTGTTCCTGCTACCACTTCACACTGGTCTCACCAAATACTTCAGTAGTGCTCGCTTGGTACTTCCAAAACCAATATTTAAAAATTTCTTATGTTAAAAATGACCTTGCTGCAGTGAAGCATTTACAATGCAGAACATTAAGCCAACTAGATGTTAGTAGTCAATATCGCTCAAAACACAAAAGGAAAACCAGCATACGCTACAAATAAAACTTCTTCCAGGCAACACGAGCTAACCTGTTCACTTGAAGATGGCAATTTGTGTGGATCCATGGTGAGACTCTTCAGGTCATCTGATATGGTTTGTAAATGGGTTATTTCTCCTAGCATTGATATTTCTTCTTCCTGAAAAGACAAAAGAGCAAGGCTAGTCACAGACTTGGCTTTACAAACCAGACCCATACACAATACACGACCTTTTTCTTTTTACAGATGACTGTGGGAATGCCCAGCACAACTCCTATTTCTTTGCCCATTAAGCAATCACTTCTTATGAAAGCAGGTTGAAAAGTATTAATTTAGACTTTTATAAGTACTTTAATATTGCTGTGAGTTCGGAAGCCCAGAAATCTCTTCTCTCATCAATAACATAAATAAGTCTCAGCCTTCTTTTCGTGATATCTTCAGAAAAAGCGTCACTTTTGCTGCATTTGGAAAAGATTTAACTCTTCTATGTATACTCACTAATGTGCCCTAAGGATTTTAACCTTGAACATAAGGGTTAAACTCACACCACTACAATATGGTACAGTATAGTAAAGGCACTATACAGGTGGAGAGCATTAATATATTTATGATTCATTCTGGCTTAAGCTACATCAGCAGCTAACTCATGTGATTCCTGCACTGTAAATTACCACAGCAATCCCTTAGCAACCATGGTAATTTCATCCAGGTCCCCATAGTCTGGAATTCACCTCCTCCTGCTCAGCCATCACCTCCCTACTTCTCTAACAAGGTTTTTTGTCGGGACTGATGCTCTTTGTAAACAGGCATTAGGAACATTTTCCCAGTACAATGGAGACCCTTCAGAAATGCATCATGCTTGCACAAAGCCACAAATGATTCATCAACGGGCTTCAGACCTGAGCTGATGAAAACACTCTCAAACCTTTTCAATGAACTGAAAAAGCTGTCACACAGGAGAAAAAGAGCTGCCAGAAAGCTGCATGGAAGCAGCCTGCAATCTGTCAGATAATGTCATTATATACACAGGGGAGGTCTTGAAACATTTATCAGTCCTAGCACTAGAGTAGCAGCAAGGAAAATTCATATTAAAATGTGATGCTAAGAAAGCAAGCAATGGAAAAAAACTGCATTTGCAATGTCTCAGGTCCGATAGAGAACTCAAGCCCACTTAAGACTTTGTGCCCATTGTTTTCCCATTAGTTATCTTGAAAGAATTCAGAGTCTTACTCCAGATGCCTACAAGAATGGTCCCAAAACCCGTCACTTCCCAGGCAGTGATGCAGGTTTTGGCTCTAGAAATTCATTCCTAAGACATAACAAGCTACCCTCTTCAGAGGCTTTTGGATACTTATCTAATTTGTGAATTGTACTGACTTAAAACACAGAGCTCTTACTATCACAGGCCGCAGCATTGAGATGAAAGTACAGAATCGACCACGCTCCTCAATCAGAGCTTTTCTGACAGCTTGCTTCTCAGTTTCTTCAAGCAGCAGGTACTTATCATTGACATCTTGTAAAGCACTGTCCAGCTGGGGCTGAATATCACCCCGTCCTGTAGGCAGGAAACAATCAAGAGTACATTTTGTCAAAACTGTGGATCTCCATAGAAGAAGACCTTACTTTCCACCAGCACTGCTGATGGATTGTGCTTTTTCAATTCGAGACTCAACCAGCATTTTCCCTTAATTCAAATTAAGATCAATTAAATCAAGCATTTCATAGCATTTCTTTTTTCTCCTTTTGCATAGATCAGAAATCCAGCTCAATTCAAAAGGTTTCAACAAGCCAAAGACAGCATTTCACATAAGGACTTTCTCAAAGTGTTAGCTGTAGAAACCCTTCACATGATCCTTGCTGAAAACAAACATCTTACTAACTGGGAGAGTATTAATCACTAAGCCCACTTTTATTCCTCTTCCTTCCTACTTTTGTGCTTATCAATGTCCTAACGGCCCTTTTGGTGGAGTTACTAAATGAGTGAATGAATCTCCTGTGTGAGACGGCATTAAGAACATGTTACTTACCACTGGACCACTGGATTCAAGTACTCTACACAAGAAACTGCTGAAACAGTTTTCTTCATCCCAAACAAAAAACCTATCAACATCTCAAATACATATTAGCATCCAATATTTGTCTATGGAAATAAAAAGTTCCAGTGTTTTGCAATCGAAAAGCTTCACTGTGTTAATTGTAGTCAACTTATAATACCAAGATTTTCTGTGACAGTTAAGCATCTCGTTCTGCACCAACTGCTTACTCTACATCATGTCAAAATTTTTTACCTCCAGGAATGAAGAGCTGCTGCTTAGCCATAGAATTACTGAGCCAATAATTGCAAGTTGCAGTTGCAAGATGTTTTCATGCAGCTTACACCTCTAAATATTTTAAAGAACTTTAGTTGTGTAAATTTGTCTTAAATCTCCCAGGAACACCATCACATGCAAACTAGAGTATCCAGGTACATATCTAAGACACTTCTGCTAAATATCAGGCAATTTTGAAAAATGGTGGGTGAGCTAGAAGGAGGTACCCAAAATCAGTTTTTATGGACCATAACCTTTCTGCATGGAGGATGTAAAGCTATGAGCAAGAGGAAGAAAAAAGTCTCCTGATGTGTGTAGTACACAGTGCAGATGACTCAAGGTCAAGGTTACAAAGGAAAACATTTGCCTTATTATCATACGTATTTCTTCCATACTCCAGAGCGAGGTGAAAACATGAGCTCTCCTGCACCAGCCCACAGCCAGAGCCACAGGGAGAGCCACAAGAGAGCAGTGATGGAAGCAAAGGGAATCACGCTGGCTCAGTGGCATTACAGGCTGCATACGTCCAAACCTCCTCTGTACAGAGTGAGACACAGTCCAGATAAAACTACACAGACACCCACAGGCAGAGCTCTGTGATGGATCCTCGAAGAGTCAGGTGTGGTGCAACACTGGCACGGCCACCAGGAAGGCCACCCGGGTACCAAACTGCCAGGAGGAACACACAGTGTCTGATCCTGTAGATCAACCTAACTGGTGCCACATGGTCTTAAAACTGTTTGGGAAGTAAATAACCTTAACAATAACAGAACCTGAAGTTGCAGCCCTCTGCTTTCTCTCTCAAAATAAGCATCTGCCAGATACAAGCTTTAGAAACATTTTGGATAATTCCCTGAAGGTCCTGTGCCTTCTCACCTGTCATCCTTAGAAGACAAACTGGGCCCTTCCACTTAAGAGACCATTCTGCACATGCCAGGCCCTTCCCCATACTCTTCTTTGCTACCAGATGAGGAATTAAACATTTCACACTTCCCAGGAGTTGTTCTTTCCTTATGAAGGAGACTCGCATTATTGCTCAGACCCCTTATTTTGAGAGCTGCCTGGAAATTGCAACCAGTGAAATAATTTGTTCAAACCTAGATACCAGCTCACTACCATGGATATACAAAATGCAAAATATATTAGTTGCAAACCAAATCACACGCTCATTAGTTCAGCTCTGGAGGACTGCTGTAAATGTTCAGCTGCTCCACCACATGATAATGCACTTAATGCAGTATAAACTCGTTGAATGCATTCACCTACGAAGTGAAAAGACACACACTTAGAATGCCACAGGAGTCCATTGACAAAATGACTTCAATTATAGTGAATTTTGCTAATTTACATGGACCTCACAGAGCAGCACGTCTTGGGCCAGAGCAACAAGAGCACCCAAAATATGGGGCAAAAGTAAACCTCATTTACACCTGTGAAATTCAGTTGGTTCGACAAAGTTATCAGGGTAGTGTTCAAGCTGTGTACTTTAACCCTTTGGCAAAAGCGTGAGTAAAACTGCATCGCTCTCCAGCACCCCCTGTACCTCCAGGAGGCATGTGTCCTGCGTGGGGACAGGACAAGGAGCAAGGGCTTTAAACTGAAACAGGATAGACTGAGATGAGAAGTACAGAGGAAGTTCCTCTCCATGGGATTGCTGAGACAGTGGCACTGGTTACCCAGAAAGATTCTGGATGCCCCATCCCTGGAAGTGTTCATGGCCATGTTGGATGGGGCCTTGTGCAACCTGGTCTAGTGGCAGGTGTCCCTGCCCATGGCAGGAGGGTTGGAACTAGATGATCTTTAAGATCCAGATCCCTTCCAACCCAAACCATTCCATGATTCTACAACATGATTCTACGAAGTTTCCATTTTATGCCTTTAAGTGAGCCAGGACCTTAACAGACATATCATCTCCTCACCGCTACTTTCACGGACCTCTTGTTACGCCATGGCTCTTGGGCACCTACGTGGTCAGTGAAAACACAAAAGCTGCCCAGAGTATAATTAAGAGCAGGAAGCAAGCTTAGATTAATCATTTAGATGAGGCTCTGAAGACATGTTTACACGGCATGAATATAGCTCTCTCTTGATGTCTTCTTGCAACTCATCTTTTAGGAGCAGGAAACCTTTATTAACATACTTTGAAAGCTCCATAATGCAGACATCAATCCAGCAAGTCTTTTGAAATCAGGCATAACTCTTCTCATTCTCTGAATCACCAGCTGCCTCCCACAGCACTCAGACAGCTTGGGAATTTGAGGGATCAGATCTCTGCCCAATTAAAGCAGTTCCCTTCACTAAGCAGAGCAGGGCACAGCCCCTTGGCAGCAGTCCTACACCCCGAAGACACCAAGGATGTAAGGGTCAACTGCCAGTCACTTCTGCTGCTCACCCACCTTGGGTCTCTGCTAGTTTGAATCCACTATTTATTTCAGAAGACAACAGTGACCACTGGAGAGCAATGCAGTTCTTTTCCACTTTGAATTATGATGGGAAGGTCACTTGCCTGTGGCATCTCTGGCAACTGATTGCACTATTTTTGCTGTGGACGTAAGGCATACTTTCATAAAAAACATCAGCAATTGATTATTCTCTCCAGCCTACATTCTATGGCCTTTAGGTTATCCATGTGGAAACATTTCCAAACCAACACAACTATCATAATGACAGAAAAATAGTTCTAGAACAGTCTCATCATGGAGCAGCTGCAAAAGTGCATCTGGAAGGACACTCCAAATCCAGCTGCAGACACGTTTGAGTGACCCACCAAAGCAATCAGCATTAGCAGTGGTCAAAAGCATCAAATGTAGTCATAGGTCTCTGGTCTGCAACCAGCCAGACCTGAACATGATGTAGGGATGGTTCTGCAGAGCATGTCCAATTACACTCAGAAGAACAAGTCAACAATCTGAAAACAGGAGAAATTCAAATCCAGCCTCTCTCAAAGTGGAACTTTGGTGTTGCAGAGAGAAGCAGAAATGCAAGACCAGAAGTTGTGGACTGACTTCTCCAACAGCACCATGCTCCAATAGCTTGTGGACTTGCAGCATGACACAGGCAAGTAACAGCTAATGAACTGCAGAGAGCTGAACTGCTTCTCATCAATATTAACATGAATCCACTGCTACTCCAAGGACAATCTTAATATGTTACCTTCAGAGCAGATGCTTCACATCATTACCATGATATGCAAGAGCTTTAAAGGACCAGCATGCATTAAAACCTCAGTTTTACAGTGTTCTGTATGAATCATGGCTGAAAGCCTCATGCAGCTTCTTAAATAATCATCGTTCAGAAAGAACTTTACTAACAGAAACATATTGGGGAGAAGGAAAAAGGTAAATCTAATTTTCAACCCAATTTCATGCCTACATTTTATAAGGCGAACTAGCAAAGCTGTCAGCAACAACAAAGAAGAACAAAGATTTTAAAATGTTCTCAGTGCAAGTCTGACTGCTGAAGTTAATGCTGTTATTGACAAACTAATGCAGCAAATATTGGTGAAATTATTATTTTCCACATTCTCACTTAAAGAGTTCTACCTTGAACTTCTTAGGTGTCTGCACAGAACTAGCATATTCAATATTAGACACTTTTCCAGAGTGGCAGAATTTACAGTGTATGAGACAATGCTGAGTACACCTCTACTTGTACAAACCAAAGCAGGCTCCAAGTCATTCATTCCCATCCTTCAGCTGCCAGGATGAATAATCCCTCTAAGTCCTCCACAGTAAAGCCAATAAATAAACTAGTATGGGTCGAGGCTGAGATCAAAAGAATTCTGCCATCATTTATGGAAAGGTGGAAAACCTTATTGCTGAGCTTAATTTCAGACCTCAGCAACCAAATCTGAGTCTTTCTGGTGGCTACTGGAGATCCAAATCAGTTGCTAATGTTCTGAAGTGCTAAGCTGTGCCTTAAAAGAAAGGTTCCAAGTTACCAAAGGAATCTTCCATATTCAATGACAGAGCAGGAAAACCACAGTGTGGTTTCAAAAAAGGGGACAAGCAACAGGCACCACAGCACCCAGCTCCACCACAAGCTCAGCTGAGGTGCCTCAGTTGAGTGTCTCTCCACCTAATGAATCCAGGCTTCTCAAGGGCAAAGCCTACACCATCACACCTACAAGTGGAGCTATCATTATTTCTCTCAAATTCAGAAACACCGTCCTTCATTCACAAGAATTTAAATTTGCAATACAATTGAAACAACATTCCAATTTAAGCAGATTTGAGATGTGATTAGG